TATTTTGTATATTAAATTATTATATTTAAAATGAAAAATTAATTCATTAACATAATTTAAAAATTTTATTTATATTTAAACATTTTTTAATTAATTATATATATATATATATATATATATATTTTAACTATTAATCAAGCCAAATTTGACCTTTTAATTTATGAGTCTAAGATTAAATTAAACAAAAAATTACAATCTCTTTAAAAATATAAATCAAGATAAATCATTAAATTATTTATCAAACAGATAAAAAATACCAAAACCAAAATATTAATTTTAAAAGAGTCAGTTTAAATAAATATTTTGTTAAGGGAATTATAATATATATTTTTATTAAAATTTTAAAAGTTATTTTTTTACTCTAGCCTTCGAATCTCCCTCCCTTCACTTTTGCTTATGGGACATAGAGACATCTTTAAGAGGAGGTGTTATCAAAAGTTGTTTAAGAACAAAAGTGAATATTTTATTGTGAATATCATATTTTAGTTACTTAAAAATATAGAAAGTTACTTAAAATTAGAAAAAAATTATTTTGATAAACAACTCTGACCATATTTTAAAAATTCAACTGTAAAACCCATAATAAAATATTTAATTTTATTCTTAAGTAAATATAGTTAAAAATTCTTTTTGTCTAAGAAAATAAGGAGAGAAAATAATTAATAATAAAAAATTTAAGAAAAAAATTATATTATAAAATAATTCTAACATGTACCGTCATCTAAAATGTCATATTTTTACTTCACCATAACTTATTGTATTTACTTCAAATTATTTTTTTCTTAGTTTTTATCTCTCTTACATTATGACATTGTTATCTCATTATGACATTTTTCTCTCATGGGCTTTAATTTTACTTGTCAGTTTTCTCTCTTTAAATGTTTCCTCACAAAGTTATCTAAAATAAAAAAATATTAAATTTTAGAAAAAAATTATACCTCAACATAATTTAAAATTTTATTTAAAATAATAATATAACTTAGTCTATATCTAAAGAACTTGAATGTGAATTCAATATTAATTGATGAAAAACAATTGATTATATGAACATCCATGGGTATGAATAAGAAAAATAAATTTGAAAGTTAATTATTTATTAAAAATATTAAATTCTATAATTTTTAGCATAAAAAATATATAATTAACTAAATAATTTATTTATATTTTTTAAAATATTTAACTTAGTTTAAAATATTTTTAAATATATTAAATATTTTTTTAATTTTAAATTTGTATTTATTTAAATATAAACCAAATTATATTAATATTGAAGATAAATTTATGAATATATTTTAAATTATTTTGAAATATGATATAAAAAATATTTAAATTTTCAGTTATTTATGAGTAATTAATTATAAAGAGATAATTTTAAAATATTAATAATAGGGTGGTTGAGTGGAAAGAAAACTCAAAATTATCATATTTTAATAGGAGGTGTAAATATGATATGTTAGTAGAACCACTCTTTTATTATTAAGTCGGACAACAAATTAATATAGAATTTATTTAAATTAGTTTAAAAAAATATTATTTATTGATATTATTAAGGTTCTAACATAAAACCAATTAGATATGAGGTAAGCAATGTGAGACTTTCAACACGCCCCTCCAACAAAGTCTACTGGACCAGGCAAATGGTAATTTTGACCTAACTAAAGGACAACTTTTGACCCATAACAATAATCGGAAAGATGTTAGGCTTTGACTCTGATACCATGTTAATGTTCCAACATAAAACCAATTGGCAATATGTGGAGTAACATAATATATTTAAACCATATCAAATGATACATGGTAAACAATGTGAGACTTTCAAAAGATATTAATAACTTTCTCTTTAATAATACTAAAGCTAATAATTAGAATAATTAGTTATTTAACCCAACCTAACTTAGTTCTACTGATTAATTACATCATATTGGATGTAGGGATGACAATTAAACCCGTCACTGTAGGGACCGACCAGTCTCCGCCCGAGTTTGACGGGGAAAACTCGAGTGGACCGGGGCGGGGCGGGGATGGGTAATGCAATCCCCACTCCGACCCCGTCCCGCCCGACTTTATATTTAAATTTAAAATTTAAAATATTAATACTTTAAATGTATTTTCTTTTTTTTCTATTACATATAAGGTTATATTTTTAATATTTCACCAATTTTTATTTTTCTTCTACTCATTTTTAATTTTTTTTATCTTTTTTAATCTTTTATATAAATTAATTTATTACATTATTCTCTCTTACCTTTCTATTTTTTACATTTCCTTAATTTCTTCCATCAATTTATTTATTTTTTTATCTTTTCAATCAATTTGATGAACATAAATTAATTTTTGTTCTTTATCTTTTTCTAAATATTTTACATAAATCCTAGTAATAACTAATATTATTTTATTTATAATTTATATTTATTAGGTTTTATTATGTCATATTTTTTTATATTATTATTATTATTATTATTATTATTTATCATATATCAAATTTTATCTTAATAAAATAATTGTATTTTAAAGGATTAAAAGAAATTGATAATTTAAACTTTTATTACTTCGAACTAATTAAATAAGAATTAACTTATTAAATATTTTCTTATAAACTATATATTTCATATTTTTAGATGACAACTTAAAAATAAATTAACTTATATATATAATTAAATATTTGAATACAAAATTATAATAATAATGTTATAAGTATTCAAATATTTGAATAATAATAATAATGTTATAAATATTATCTCTCTCTCTATATATAAATAAAAAATAATTAAATATTTTTTACATATATATTTTAATATAAATATAATAAATTAAAATTTATATTTAATTAATAATAATTATAAATTATAAATATTTATTTATATATAAAAATACATAATAAAATTATTTTATTATAAATGTAATTATCTTTTTAAAAATAATATAGGTGAGGGGGACGTGACCCAAAGTTTTGTAACTCCCATATAATTTATGATTTTGGCCTCCCAAACATAATGAATATTTAATATATTTACTTGTATATTTACATTTTTATCCTCTCAGCCCTTCCTCAGTTTTGTAACTCTCATTATGATTTTGTTTCCCTTAAACTTAATGATCATTTAATATATTTAAGTATATATCTAAAATTTTATTTTTTTACCTTTTCATCTTCTTTTTTCCTTTTATATTTATTTATTATTTATTAATAATATATTATTTGACCTCCTCAAGATCAATTGTCAAGATCCGCCACTTGGAGGCGGGGCGGGAGTCCGAAACCCAGCGGGAACGGGGATGAAGACTTAATTTTTAACTCGACGGGATCGAGGCGAGGACGAAGATGGTTAAAAAGTCGGGGACGAGGATCGGGGAGGCAAAACCCGCCCACCCCGCCCGCCCTGCCAGTTGCCATGCCTAATTGGATGACTTAATTTGACGTATATTTTAAAATGAGTTAAATTTATAATTTAGTATGATCTTGTATTAGGTTAATGGATTATTTTTAATTTGATTTTTTTTAAATATTAACATATTTATACTAAATTAATCAATTAAAAAGTAAAAATAAAAATTGAAATATATTTTTAAAATTTAAATTATATTAATAAAATTAGTTTTTATTTAAAATATAATAATTTAATATATAAATTATAAAAAATATATCATTTTAATATAAAATAAGAATTTTAAATTTATTCTTGATTATATTTTTTAGCTTTTAGTGATTTATTAAAATAAAATAATAATTAATTTTAATCAATAAATCTTTATTTTTAGAATAATTAATTTTTAAAAAATAATTTATAATATATATAATAAAATAATATTATTTTTATTTTAAAAAATAATTATTATTCTATAAAATAGATTAATAATAAACTTAGGTACTAAACCTAAATCATATAAGTGGATCATAATTTAATTTATTTTATCTTCTCAGTCAGCTTTTAAATTCTTAATAATTAGTCATTAATATTAATATTTTATCTATAACTATATATAATAATATATAATAAGTATTATCTGACAAAGTCGTTTTTTATTGGATAAAAAATAAATAAAAGTATAATATTTTTTTAAAATAGTTATTATGATTTATGTATTTTAAAATGATAAAATACAGAAGAGAAAAAAAGTAATTATTTATAATGATATAAAATGAAGATTCTCTATTATAATTGTTTTTTTAATTACAATTTAAAAAATATTTATTATAATTTATATATTTAAAAAATAGTAGAATATAATGGAGAAAAAGAAGTACATCAAACAAGTGAAAAACAATAGAACAATTTTATTAAAAGATACGTTGTTGTAAGTAGAAAAAGAGAATAACTTCGTAAAACATACTCGTTGTCCAAAAAGGGAATAGTTTTAGAAAATTAGAGAATCAAATGTGTTTGTAATAAGGAAAATTGCACACTTTTGAAATTACAGGAATAAAAATGGATTAAAATCTGTGAAATTCTATTCATCCGGCTACATATTATATTCATTCATTAAATTTAACATGAATATTTTTTCAAATTTAACTCACTTTTGTATATATATATATATATATATATATATATATATTATGTCAATATACATTTTATGTATACAATTTATTTATTTACATATTTGTATGAATATTAGAATTGATAATGTTAAATATTATATTAATATTTATCAAGTCTATATATAAATATTAATAGATACATAATGAAATAAATAGTGAAGTAAGCAAAAGGAGAAAGGTCCCACTGACGCGTTTTTAATTTGTTGAGAAATGACTCATAACTATGATTTTTGTAAAATAATGAAAAATTAATCAATGAAATTGAATAAGAACATTTGGAATTGGAACTTGAAACAAGAAAACCGTGGTTTAGTTCATAGGTAGGTAGAGTGAGTCATAAGTACAACTGAGAAAACGCATAGAAGAGAAGAAGAAAGAGAAAGAGAAGACATATTGTTAGTTTCATTTTCTCCTCCATTCTCAAATCTCACATTCTGCACTCTCACTCACTCGCTCAGTCATGTATCAACCACCCACTCCCACTTCTGCCAAAAAGGTTAGTCTCTCTCTGCATTCTCCACTCTATTCTTTTCATGCAAAATAAATCACTCTATTTGTGTCGATGCACCTCCTAGTTCTCTGCATTCAACACTCAAGGCTGTTTTGGAAGGGTTTAGAGAATTATGGATTGGACAATTTTGTTCTGCGCCGCCCAATCACGATCCTTGTTTAATTTTGGGGTCCATGATAATAATTATCACTATGAATATTCTTCATGCGAACAACAGGATTAAGAAGTTGACTCGACATGATTTTTGTGAGTCCTTATCATTGTTCATACCTGTTCCTCTTCGTAGAAGCAAGCTTAGAATTTAAAACAAGAAGAATTGGTCTTCTTTAACAATTTAGGTTAGATGCCCTACATTTGTTCCAAATTCATTGTCTCGTAGGACATGACATGCTTTGTCCTCTACCTGTATGTCCAATTGATGAAAGGACAAATTTGAGTTAGAAAGTCATGTAACGCATTGTTGGTGGTGATGATTTTACAACAGAGAATATAGAAATAGTAAGACTCCAAGGCATGTGTATGCAGTAATGTTTAGGTTTAGGTCTGATTAGCCCTTACTGTTGTCTTTATAAACTAGATGCAAAAATTGTAATCGCTGATTCATTTTACTATGTCTGACTGGTGAAAGGACAAAATTGACGTAGAAAGTCATGTAACACATTGTTGGTTGTGATGATTTTACAACAGAGAAGATAGAAATAGCAATACTCCAAGGCATGATGTGTTTGCAGTAATGTTTGGTTTAGGTTTGATTAACTTGTCTTTGTAAACTAGATGCAAAAGTTGTAATTGCTGATTCCCTCTAGTATACTTTGGAGTTTCCTTGATTTAGTGGTTTGTTTACCCAAAATCAATGCTGAGGACAATGGTATTTACAGAATATTATGTTCCTTAATTCTGTTTATGCACAAGGGCAAAAAAAAAAGTTATTTGCAAATCTCTTACATACATAAACCAATATATTTTCATGCAGTTAAACTCCCTATTCTCCTCTCTAATCAAGTACTGGATTATTGCTCATTCGTTTACTTCTCATTGTTAGCAAGCATTACCTGTATTTATGAATGTTAGTTACCGTAACTTATGCAGCATTCTGTTCACACAAATGCACCATCCATCCAAGGGACTTCTTCGGTGATGCAAGTGGATTTGCACGAAGGCACTGTTGATGCAAAGGAAATGCAAAATGGAGAAATTCTACAAGCACAATCCATCATGCGCCACTCCCAGGTTGCTTATATTTTGTGATGTTTTTATGAACAGAAAGGATGACTCTTTGCTGCTACTAATTGCACATTAATAAAATAATTTCAGCCTAATTTTTTGTGTTGCACAAGTTGTATTATCTTACATTTTGTTAGATGCATTGTTCTGTTAATTTCTGGGTTTCAATTGATTGATGATGCTTTATACAAACTTACTTCATAGCAATGTAATACTTGCAGAAAATGGAAGATGACCTACGTACATTAGGGACAAAAATTAAGCAGCATGAAAACAACTTAAATCACTTAAACTCTGAAAAAAGCAAATTAGACGACTCCATTCTTCATTTGCAAGGTACAATGTTGTTCATTTTAAGGATTTTTCTCTGTTTGGCAGGTGGACAAAAAGATACTTATAATGAAAATATTTATGATCCTTTTCTGTAAGGTTCATTGACTGAATCAATGTTGTAAGTTTTTATATGGTTGCATGCAATCACGAAGTAGGTATTCGTTGATAACAATGTAAAATGTCAGTTCAGTTATATTGTGGCTGGTCACTAGAGGGTTCTGAATGGTGGTGCACTACTTATATCTGTTTATTTAAACGTCAGTATTTTTGTTTATAAATGCAGAACTGTTGATGTTAGTCATATTACATTACGGCTTAAACTTTGTATTAACTGATACTTGAGGCGCATATATCAATGTAGTCATTTGCTATTTAGGATGCCGTAAACTTTGAAGTATCTCTTATTTTTATTTTTTATATTTTTTGTATTCTTAGTTACTATTGGGGAATCGGAGTTTTTAAGTAAGACCACAACTAGTGATATGGACAATCTCCCTTCTACAAATGATGAGGAAGTAGATAAACAAATATTGCAACATGAAAAATCTGCTGCTGGTGTTTTGTGCCAGCTGAAGATTCGTCATGGAGCTCAGCCTTCTCATCTTACAACGACAAAGGATGTTGTAGGTATTGTTGCTACACTGGGCAAAGTTGAGGATGACAATCTTAGCAGGTACATTTAGCAAATGTAATTTTCTTTGTGGCTTGTAAAGGTGTGCACTTATATCAAACTTGTATTAACTTGTTTTTTCTACAGCCTTGGTGGTGTTATCTTTAAACAGATTGAGAAATAATGTATTTCTCATTATTTGCTAATTTTTTTGAAGATTTGGTTTTTAACCGAGTTGATGATGTTGTGTGATCCATATAAACAACCTCACTTATTGAGAAAGCTTATGTTGTTCTGTTATCTATGAATATGTAAGCACAGATGCAGGTAGTTTCACTGTACTTATTTGGATTGCAGGCTTTTCTCAGAGTATCTGGGAGTGGAGACTATGCTGGCAATTGTTTGTAAAACTTATGAAGGGGTTAAAGCACTTGAAATGTATGAAAAGAACGGCTGCATAAATAAAAGTTGTGGTCTTCATGGGCTAGGTGCCTCAATCGGAAGGGTTGTGGATGGTCGATTTCTAGTGATATGTCTTGAATCTCTGAGGCATGGCCTCCAAGACTCTGTGTTTATGCCTTTCATTTGTTGTTGTGGATAAATTAGTCTTTTATTTTTATTTTTAATTTTTTTTTTTATTTTGTATGTGTTAGGCCTTATGCTGGTAATCACGTGATGGATGATGCACAACGGAAGTTGGATATTTTAAACCCAAGATTGCCCAATGGGGAGTGTCCAGCTGGATTTCTTGGCTTTGCAGTGAATATGATTAATGTAGACAGCTCAAACCTATTTTGTGTAACTCCGAATGGTTATGGCCTCAGAGAAACTCTGTTTTATAATCTCTTTTCTCGTCTACAAGTATATAAGACAAGGGCTGAAATGATACAAGCACTTCCATGCATAACTGATGGAGCTCTTTCTTTAGATGGAGGAATGGTTAGGAGTTGTGGTGTATTTACCTTGGGCAATAGGTAAATTTTAGTCATACATGATGTTTAATCTCTCTCTCTCTCTCTCTCTCTCTCTTTTATCTTTTGAGACTTATATGGCAGGTAGAAAACAAGATATTGACAGGAAAATAATCTTTGTCGCAATTGTATCCCACAGAAAACTTTTCAATTTCTGAAGTGTAGGTTCAGCTGGATCAACTGTAGTATACAAGAATAATGCTATCCATAATGAGGTCCATCAATGTCAATTATCTCTATCTTTTACTAGAATTTGTATAGAAGCTCATGATATGAACTATGCAAGTCTTCATATGTTGTCACACAAGATGGAACCTCAACAGTATGGTCATAGAACCTTGTGAATTTAAGGTTTTTGTAGGTTCTTGAGTTGATACATTTTTTTGTGTTCACGGATGAAGAACTGTTTTATGTTTTTCAATTTAGAGCCTTTTTATTCTTAATAAAGTAAGTTTTATTTTCAACTGCTGTTTGGTGTAATCTGTTTTGCAAAAGAATAGAATCATTATATACGTGATAAAAAAATCTGGGGAATTTGCAGGGAAGATATTGATTTGAGATTCCCCCGGCCGGAAAGATCAATGGAGCTTGATAACCATAACATTGAAATTGCGAGACAGTTGAAGGAAGTCAGGTGGAAGAAAGAAAAGATTCTGGAGGAATTAAAAAGGGAGCAGACGTTGCTGGACATGACGAGGTCCAATTTCAACAAAAAGAAGGGTGAATATCTTAAGTTTTTGGCGCAAAGTTCATCAAATGCAACTCAGGTAATCCATCTGTAATTTTTAATCCTAGGTGATTTATTCAGATGTTGTTTTGATCTCACGCAAGTAATTTGATTGTGTTAGAACAGTTTCAGTTATTTCTACTAAGGCTATGTTTTGACAAGAACTTTCAGTGAGCTTCTTCTAGTTTCTTGTCCTAGCTGAAAAGCTTATTCAAAGTTATTAATAGTGATTATTAAACAAACTTTTTGTAGTAATATGAGTTTTTTTACATGCTACTTCGTGTTTTTCAAAACGTCAGGTTCTAGCCTTTTGTATTTTATGCCATACTCTATAAGTATCTAGTAAATTGTCATCTTAACACAGGATTTGGCCCCCTTCTTACATGGTTTATTTTTACCATTAAAATATCATTTGTTATATTATTTTAACATTATACTTCAAGATGTTTTAACTATTACATTACTGAACATAATGAAAATATGGCATCTATTTTAGTGTATGTTTAATTGATTTTATCTTAAATTTGGTTGGCAATATTTTAAGATATAATATAAGATCCATAGTAAAATATATAATATGAAATTATAACAATTAAAACTAAATAATTTATATCTACAAATTAAAGTTACAAGAGTTTAAAATTAATTAAACACTAAAATTATAATTATCTCAATATATTTACCAATCAAATAAAGTTAAAATTTATAAAAAATATCTTATAAGCATGTTTATATTTATCATTTTATATTTATTAGTTGCTTTAAGAAATAACTTTACTAAACACTTATAATTCAATAAATTAATTTAACTGTCTTCTGCTACTATCTTTCAATTATCGGTTAGCTATTTCTTTTCATTTGTTTAGTGGAGATTATATTCTAAAATAATATCAAAGGCAGCAATGGGGGTTGACTATGGCAAAAAGAGTCTCTTGCTAAATCCTGATGCATGCAAATGTTAAATGATGTACTCGCAAGCTTATTATATAACAAGTTCACATAGTGGTTTCAGTTAACGGGAGCTTTCCATATCTGACTTAAACTTGTAGTTTTGAAATGTGACATAACTCACCGTTGCAATGTTTCTTTAATCAACGGCACCATTAGGTTCTGACTGCTGGTGACAGATTCGGAAGTAGATGACTAAGGCTGACAGTTTACAACGAAGAAAAGAGTCTGTGGCTGCAACTTGTTTTGTTATATTGTATATATCCATTTTGTAATCCGGTTCTGGAAGGAGATTGTGCCCATTTTGGTTTCTTAGATTGAAAGATAAAAAATTTGGATAGTAAAACTAACACATTGATTTTTGAAGCTGGAGACCGTTAAAGCTTTATCTTTCTTCAAGTTTTGTTGTGAAGAAAACTCAGATTAGCCTTCACGACACTGGCACCGGATTTGCCTTTCAGTATGCATGATTACCCTTGCAGACGAAACATACTTGCTAGGACAACTTCTTTCTTGGTTCCTTGTATACCTGCTAGCTCATTGTACTCCTGTATTGCGAGTTAATTAGAGGCTGTGAACATTATACATCCCTCCTTTAGTTAAAAGGAAAATCATGTAACCGGAGCTTCTCGTTTTGCATTCTTTTTCTGCAGTTTCTGGAGGATTGGAGGACCTCCTCAATCCCCTTTTCGTTCTCCCCGTTGGGGAATTGGTTGATTCTTTAAAAACGTCTGAATCATTTATTAAAATTTAGATTGAATAACATGTTTTGATAAAAATGGATGGGTTTTATCGATCAAAACGAGAGCAAGAGATTTTGTATGTATGTATGGATTGGATATATTTTCCACTCGTCGTGTTCGGTTCGGTTATGTACTTGATTTGGTCATTGGATTTGGAGTAGAGGTTGCGTTGCATATGATCCAATAATTCATCCTGCATGGTCCAAAGGGGAGAGGGAATGAAAAGAGAGGTTTCTTTTTATAGTTTGGTTTTAAGAGGAGAAAAGGAGGGAAATGTAAACTTGTTTGGTCTGAAAGGAGATGGAAGAGAAAATATAGATAATAACATGTGCATATATAATAAGCAAATGAAATTTAATGGTAATTCATAATTGTTATTGTTAGGTTTGTCATCGCACACTCCTACCTATAAAGGAAGCACATGTAATTGGACTTGGGTGCCCCCAATGTTGTGCCTCCTCCAAAAGGTCTAAACTTTTTTGTAAAATTTACTCGAGGTTCTGAAAAGGATAGAACAATATAGAAAGAAAGGTGCGTGAGAGCAACACTGAGAAAAAAGAGGGTCCATCACCAAATCTTCTCTGTGACTTGTGTTTCCTTCCTTTAATTTCTAAACGTGGAGTTGTTTACCTTCCTCATGGCAAATCTGTAACCGGTTAAAGAATAAGAAATACTCAATGGTATAAATATCATCAATGTACATCTATTATGATTTTCACTAAAAAAAATAAATTCTAAATTTCTTAATCAATGTTCTGAAAGAGCTAGTTAGCTGGACCCAAACATAGTAGTTACTTTATACTTCTAGAATGTAAACATAAAAGAGTTATAGACGTTGTAAGCATTTTTTAACATGATCAATATCTGAATTTAATTTTTGTTTCGATCAACATTGTAAGATATAAATTTAAAATGAATTAAGTGTGCATAAATTCATGCCTAACACTTCTACCGAAAGTATTACTATTAATACTCTACCAAAAAAAAAAAATGCCTAACACGGAAAAAACAAAGTATTTATCTAAATCGAAGATAAGAAAAATCTTTGAAGTTGGTGAGATATTTAAAAGAACGGTGATTTTATTTTATTTATCCTTAAAAAATTGAGTCCATGAGACGTATCTTACTCTATTTCGTCAACCTATTAAGGTTATTCTCAGTTCATTTTCTTAGAACGTTGTTTAGTGGGGTGAAAGGAATAAGATTTTGGGGGAGTTCGATAGAGTGGCGTGGCGTTTTACTCACAACAACATAATCATCAAAATTATCAAATCACTTTCCGGCAACCTCAATTTGCTCCTTCCACACTCAATGTCTTCTTCTCTCTCCTCGATTCTCCCCACACCCCAAACATCTTAACTGTCCAATTCAATCTCCCGCACCAAACGCAAACCATGCTCGCGTTTCGATCCAAGCCTTGTAGGGAAACAGCGACCCTCGCACTCGTCCACTTCAAGCACTTGTTCTTCAACTTCACGCGCGCCGGGAACACTCGCTGCCCTCCACGCGCCGCCTTCGGGATTTCGAGAGGCTACAACGTTGTTGCCTCCTTGGGGGACCCGCCCGAGGTCTGGTCCGGCGGCGGGATTGTCGTTCGTCCCGCGAATTCCAACTTTGAAGTCGCCGGTGGCGCCCCCAACTCTGGTGATTCGAAAGAAGGGTGTTGGGGTGGCTCCAATTTGGGGACCAATTTCCCAACGCCGAAGGAGATTTGCAAAGGGCTCGACAAATTTGTTATTGGACAAGAGAGGGCCAAGAAGGTGTTTATTGGTCACTTCTTTTTCGGCACTTTTGTTTCTATGGGTTTTGATGTTGTTGTGGTTCTTATTTGTGCTTCAATTACATTTTTCAGGTGCTTTCTGTGGCGGTTTATAATCACTATAAGAGGATATCTAATGAGTCTTCTTTTCCCAAGTGGTTAGTGTTATTATTCTTTACTGAACTTTATATATATATTTTTTATACTATGTTGATTGATTGTATGTAGGTGTGAATTGATTTTTACCTGTTCTTACTATTTGGATTGTTAGGCCTGCAGGAGATTCGGATGATAATGTGAAGGCTGAGGCTGTTGAAATTGATAAAGTTGAACTTGAGAAAAGCAATATCCTTCTAATGGGGCCAACAGGATCAGGTAAATCAGTTTTTGCCTTCTGTTTGAGTGATTAGTATTTATATTCTTCTAGTTTTGTTTAAATTATAGTGTATGATATGATGTCTGTCGTTTCCAGTTTGGAATAACAATTTGTTTGAGTGAGTGGAGAATAGATGACTCTCAGCTACATAGTTTCTCAGTCATTTGGGTCAATATATTAAAATTTTGTGCTGAGCCCTTTGGGTATATAGCTATATTCTGCCACGAAATCATTTTTTTTAATAATTGAGGTAGGTAGGGGTGGGGGACAAGTTTGTGGACTTCTGTTTTTTATGTGTTTATTTCTATGAACATTTCACTAATGCCTTGTTACTCCTGGTAACTAGTGTAACTTGTTTCTCTTTGGTGCTGTTTCAAGGACAGGGAAAACATTACTTGCCAAAACTTTGGCTCGGTTTGTAAATGTTCCCTTTGTTATTGCAGATGCAACTTCACTCACTCAGGCAAGTTTGTGAGTTTTATTCTTGTTTTCTGATTTTTTTTGTCTAGTAAAATAAATAAAAAATAGCAGGATGGGGACGGCTTATTCTTCTCAAAGACTTGCAAATGTCCTCTATAAGTTGTAACCTTTCAGTGTAAAAGACGCATATTTTCCCATCCTGTAATCTTATGTCCTCAAAAGGTGTGAACAATTTATGCAAATTCTGATCCCAGAAAAATTGACATATATCCAACACATTTCCTTTTATCGAATTCAAAGTGCCCAGAAGATACTTTGGCAATCATTTTCCTTCCTTTTCTCCTGTGATTAGAATTCTTGCGTTTGTTATGACTTTTTCCTTTTCTCAAAAACATTATCATCCTAATTTTTTTTTATGTGAAAGCCACATGTTTATCTTACTTGTCTAACCCACTGTCACCTTCGAACAGGCAGGTTATGTCGGAGAGGATGTGGAATCCATATTATACAAGCTCCTTATGGTAAATACTCTGGTGAATGATGACTGCATCTTTTGATAGATTGAACAATATCAACGATTCTACGTGAAATCTATGAGGGATTAGTTTTGGTAGTTGAACACAAATGTAAATTTGCAAAAATGACATTTCCTTGCCTTTTCATATTTCAAAGCCTCATCCATGAGAAATTGAATGTAAACTAGGTTTAAAAGGAGGTGATTCAATCTTTGGTAGATCATAAGGTTTCAGTTCTTGTACTTTTATTATTTTTTTCTAGGTCCTACTATGGGTTTTCGATAACCCAATTGGCAAGAGATTAACCTTGCTTGCGGTATTGTGAGTGTTGCTGGTCCGACGAGTTTCCGCACATAATGTTGATTGTTATGTGCATTTTTGCAAAATCTTCTTTGTTAATGGGAATTATTTTCTTCTATCTTCAACTCCCTTCAGTTTTTGTGGAAGTATGGTTTTCTCTATGGTTTGTTAATCTTTAAAATTTTGATTGCTTATTTTTTCAAGTGGAGTGGCTGCAATTTTATGAAAGTATCATAAATGAACATTATGTAACAAACTGTAGTCTGAAACAACATTCCATGAGTTTATTTCCAGGTTGCAGATTATAATGTTGCAGCTGCACAGCAAGGCATTGTTTACATCGATGAAGTTGACAAGATTACCAAAAAGGTTCCACTCTGTTTGTACATTTCCCCCCATATGGCAAATTTCAAAACGAAATATTTGTCTGCTGTTTTCTACATCTATTCTTTACATTTCAGGCAGAGAGCCTTAATATCAGTAGAGATGTTTCTGGTGAAGGTGTTCAGCAGGCATTACTAAAGATGCTTGAGGGAACGGTTAGTTCTTATCATGTGATCAACATTGAAATCTAGTGCATAGTTAAATCATCTGTTTTTTTTTTTCCCTTCTAATTTTGTATTTTTAGCAATTCATTTTATACTGATTATGTTGCAATCTTTCCAATCAAGATTGTTAATGTTCCTGAGAAGGGAGCCCGAAAGCATCCCAGAGGTGACAATATTCAGGTATGTGTATATTAGTTTTTGTGCCTTACAATTTTAGGTATATTTATATGGGGACTTATCAGATATATTTAAGGTGCTGGTACAAGGGTGCAATGACATTTCAATATTGAAGTGTTTTCTGTTTTAAACCTTTGAGAGAACATAACTGATTTCTTGTGTTCTTCTTCCTTCATTCTCCAGTTTCTTATGTTTATATATATATATATATATATATATATATATATATATATATATATATATATGCACTTTGGCTTGGCTGGATTTAATTTCTGGTATCCTTTTATATTGGGTAACAGGCATCTGTAGTCTTCATTTTATTTTAACAGTTGTGACATCTGTGTCTCTTCACAGATTGACACAAAGAATATACTTTTCATTTGTGGAGGAGCCTTCGTTGACTTAGAGAAAACAATCTCAGAAAGGTTCACAAATCCTGAAAATTCAATAGTAATGATGGTGATAATATGGAGTATCAAGTGTTTCTGTATCTAACTAGTAACTTTTGATTCCCTTTCAGGCATCACGATTCTTCTATTGGATTTGGGGCACCTATACGTGCAAACATGAGGACCGGTAAAGTCACAGAAGCTGCCGTTGCATCATCTTTATTAGAAACTGTAAGTTTCATGACGCGGTCCCGTAAGGATTGTGGCTTTTACTACACAACTAGATTCAACTTGGATCTTTACATCTTTGAAATTATTATTTTGCAGGTTGAAAGTAGTGATCTTATTGCCTACGGTTTAATACCTGAATTTGTTGGGCGGTTTCCTATCCTTGTCAGTTTGGCAGCTTTAACTGAAAATCAACTCATTCAGGTAGTCTTTATGTGTTTAACAATTCAACTTGGTTGCTTAGAACATTTGTACCTGTAATGCTTTTCTCATTTGGTTGTGTTCGCAACTGAATGATGTATGTATTGTTAGAAAAAGAGGCCAAGATCAAGAGGAGGTGAATTGATCTTTGAAAGATTTTCGCAATTTACAGATTATCTATTTCAAAGATTAAGAGTTCTGACTAATTCTTGAATCAAGTAAAACAAGCAATTAAAATAAAGGCAGCAACAGAATTAAAGAGAGTAAAGTTTAGAGAAATACAACCAAGATTTATACTGATTCACCCAATCCTAGGGTTACGTCCAGTTCTCAGTCAAATTCCAATTGAGTTCGATTAGATTGAATGTTTTACAGATTACAGATTTCAATCACACACCCAATTTACCACAAGAACCAAAATTCCATTCCATTCCTTGCACCTAAACCTTCACCAGAAACCAACTTCTAGTTCTTGAACCAACTTGCAGCCAAATTCCAGCTACAGAAACCGTGCCTAACAAATCCAAGCACTCACAGAAAACAAAGAATGAAAGAAAATGAAAGAGAAGAAACCAGAACAATCTAACCCGGATTATGTAGTCCTTGCAGTATGAGTTTCTTCACAAAAACAATGCAAAAATGTCTCAAGAAAGAACTTTCAAAAACACCACAAAATTTGCGCGATTCTTTCTTGAAAAACTTCACTTATGATTGCTTGATTGATTGCTCAAAGGTATATTTTAAAAGACTGAAACAATCCTGTTTATATAGAGATTTGTTCTAACTGCTGGTTTAATTAATCTGTTAAAACAATATTTTAATCTGTTAAAAGTCTTGAATTAATTTGTTAAAACTTCATTTAATCTGTTAAAATATTCTTGATTATTTTCTAGATTTGTTTTAACTGATACGACAACATTTCGATCGATTAAAACACTTTACAAAAATCTCTTAAGTTGTTTTAATCGATTAATTCACAATTTAATCGATTAAAATTCTGCCAAATATTTTCATAAAACTTTCTAAGTGATTTTAATCGATAACAACCAGTTTTAATAGATTAAAACAGTTAGCAGAAATTCCCTTAAATTGTTTTAATCGATTAATTCGATTTTATATCGATTAAAATTCTGACAGAACACCTTTCAAAATATTTCAAGTTGTTTTAATTGATTATTTCGAATTTACATCGATTAAAATATTGCAGAACATCTTTCAAAACACTTCAAGTTATTTTAATCGATTGTTTCGAGTTTGTATTGATTAAAATACTGCTAGAACACTTTTCAAAGCATTTTAAGTAATTTTAATCGATTATTTCAAAATTATATCAGTTAGAACACTGACAGAAGGTTTTCAAAAACTTTTTTAATGAAAATAATCGATTAATTCGAAAGTGTATCGATTAAAACAGTTCCAGTGAATGTTTTAAAATGTTTTAATCGATTATTTCGAAAACCTATCAGTTAACAGTTAAATCTGTTATGTAAATTTTAAGAACATTTTAATGGATAAAGCTCATATAATATCAGTTAAAACAATTTACTAAAAACAATTTAACCGATTACTTTGGTTTTTAATGGATTAAAAACATCTTTAGAGCCATTTTCAAATTCTTTCAAAAGATGAAACCTCATGCAGCAGAGAGATATGAATGATTATACCTATATATAGATGTAGACTCACTAATCATTCTACCCTTTTAACCCAAGTAACCTTTGACTTCATCAAATTAGCCTTTGACTTCATCAAATTAACAAGATCTTCGTTTAATCAAATGATTTAATAAGATCTTCATCACTTTCAGTCTCCCCTTATTTGATGAAATCAAACACTTTTTTGAAAGATTTTGATCTGCAGAAGAAGTCACTTGGATATATAGATTAGTGAGTATTCAATATCAATTATTTCTCCCCCTAGATTAGTGAGTATTTAAAAAATTAATCATTTCTCCCCATTTGACTTCATCAAAAATAGGGAAGAGAAGGATAAAACAAGCAATATGCATAACAAAATTGTTTTTTTAAAAACAACATTATAATCAGAAAAGAAAAAGAATAGAATTTCATGATACTAATGAAAATGTATTATTCATTTAATAACCAATTAAAGTTGATTCAAACTTGCCTTCATTAACACATTTGTGATGAATACAATAAATATGTGTATAGATAAGGGAACCTTGCTTTAGTAGCATATTACAAAAACAACCATTAACTAAAGTCTTTAATTTTCTTTTTATAATAATAATCAATTAAAAAAAGGACATAATCGATTAAATTGATCATGTTAATGATTTTAATTGATGTAAATAATATTTTAATCGATTAAAATAGAAATGACAGATGTACATTGAAATCCTGAGAGCATTTAATCGATTAAATCAAAATTTAATCGATTAAAACAAGTACAAACAATAGTATTATTAATGAAATTAATCGATTAAAGCTAGTTTATATCAATTAAAACATTTAGAAATGGGGACTAAATGATGTTTGATGCATCTAAGATGCCTAATTCAATTCGGATTTTATAAAATCGATCACGAGCAAGAGGTTTTGTGAATATATCAGCTAATTGTTTCTCAGTTTCTATAAAGAAAATTTCACAATCACCTTTTAAAACATGATCTCTAATGAAATGATGTCTAATTTATATATGTTTTTGTCCTAGAATGCTGAATTGGATTCTTTGTTAACATAATGACACTGGTATTATCACATAAAAGAGAGATTTTATTAAGAATTAAACCATAATCCTCAAACTGTTATTTGAGCCACAGGGATTGAGCACAACAACTTTCAGCTGTAATGTACTCAGCTTCCGCTGTAGAAAGAGCAACACATGATTGCTTTTTGCTATGCCATGAGATTAGACTGCTTCCTAGGAGATGACAAGTGCCACTGGTGCTTTTTCTGTCAAGCTTACACCCTGTAAAATCTGAGCCAGAGTAACCAATTAGATTTAGTTTGGACTCACCAGTTGCTTTTGGCTAAAGTTAGAAATGAAGTTGTTCATCTTGTCAATGTCTCCATTGAACCATGCTTCAACGTGTCCCCCAACATGACCAGCAGCAGTAGAGGAAGATTTCCCCTTATGTTTCTTCCTTGATTTTGATCTTTTAAGCATCTTGTAGCAGAGATTTGAGAAGAAATTTGATTGATATAGTATATGAGAGCGAGAGAAGAGAAAAGAGAAGAAGAGGAGAAACTGAAAATGCAGAACCTGATTTTTCTTTGATGAATAGAAGTTCGGATTCTAAATTTTTGAAATCTGAATGACAGACTTGCAATATTTCAGTCTTAATTGGCCGTGTCCCCTTGATTGAGTGCAGAATCACATGTTTTGGGCAGTGGGTACATCAGCTAAAGTGTTCTTGGATAAATATTGACTCAGTCAAACACTATAGTAAATGCTTTTTACAAATTTTAATTATCAATGAATCTTGAAAATCTCATTGATTTGCTCGAAATTCTTCAATTAACCATATTTAAAACAATTTTTAAGAATGAATTAATTGATTAACCAACAATTTAATCAATTAATTTGATCTAGAATATTAAGTTTGAAATAAAACAATGTAATAATCGATTAAAGCAGAAAAAAATCGATTAAATTTTTAATGTATATGTTTAATGAAATAATCACAGAATTTTAATCGATTAAACCGAAAAAGAATCGATTAAATTTAACTTTTTAATGATTTTAACTGATGTAAATCTGTTTTAATCGATTAAAACAGAGAGGATAAAACTATACTAAAATCTTGAGAACATTTTAATCGATTAATTCGTAGAATAATCGATTAAAACTGTACGAACAATTTTTTTGGTATTCTCTGTAAGTGAAATTAATCGATTAAAACAATTTTATATCAATTAAAAGACTCAGTCCATGAATCCAGAATCAATATTTGCTGATCAGGTACCAAAGAATTTCCAGATTTTGTTCCTGCAAAACAAATTTAACATATATCTGGTACTTTTTTTATAATTATTGGGTCCAATCAAGTTATTTGAAATGAATTCTTGGGAACCCACTTCATTCTTCCTTTTGGTACACTATATTTCTTAATTCTGCAGAATTTAACTGAGTGACCTCTTTTCATACAATAGAAACATTTGATAAAAGACGATGAGTATGATTTTCTATATGCATTTTTTGTGATTTTTAAGTTTGATTTAAAACCAATACCATTTTTATGCAGAACAAGTTTTTGTGAACCAAGAAGAACATCAAGATTGATTTTTCCTTGTGTAAATTTTGAAACAGCTTGTAAAAGATATTCAATTTTCTTTTGTAAGTTTGGACATTCTTCACAAGGTTTGATCATGTTACACATACAATCAGAATTATCATGAATTAATTTTAGGTAACCAAGATCAGTTTCATCTTCAAGATTTTTTTGTTTTTCAAGAGAATCAACTCTATTTTTTAGCCAGTTGTTGATATGAATCATAAGGGGTAATTTAGGATCTTTAGGGTTAAAATCTTGTAAGAAATTTAGGAATTAGAAAGAAAGTGGAAGGAAAAAATCACTCTTCCCAAGGGAGGCAACACACAAAGGATGCGACAGTCCTTTGATACAGCCAAGGGTTCTTGAATCACTCAAAAATTTAGGAGAATCACTCTCAGTAAGATAAAAGAAATAAACTCTAATATTTCTGAATAAAATTTCACTTGTTATTTCTTGATAAGAATGGTTCAGCTGATATAGAAGCGTTGACATCAGAATTACAAAAGACTCAATAAAAGAAAATAAATACTAATAATAACCCATTAATCTAGGAATTGAAAACTATTTAATGAAAACAAATAAAGACTAATAATGATTCATTAACTTAGGAATTGAAACTACTTAATGATTGATTGTATATGAAACTGTGGCAACCAAAAGTCATTCAACTATGCACCCCTTGATCTCTCAAAGGCTGATGACAAAATTTTCAATTGGGCCCTTATTACAACTTAAACCAAAATCAAACTAAAGCCCATTAATTGATTAATTCAAAATATAATTTGGTCAACCAACAATATTTGTTGAAAAACTTCCTTTATTTCCCTTGTTCTAGTCCTTATCATAGGTCATGTTCACATCATTCTCTCCCTCTTGAAAAAGATTTGTCCTCAAATCGG